TTCCGAAAACCTCGCATACAGGGACAATCGCATTCCGAGGTACCACTGTACTGACAAATATAAGGTTTTGAGGCTAGGTAATGATGATAGCGTTAAAAGATACGAGCTAGATGGTGTTGAGATTGCAAAAGAGATCTTGGAGTTATGAATAGTAAGAATTTAAAACCAAAAAAATCAATGCATACATATTCATAATGAGTCAAATAGACACTGGGATTTATTTGTTGAAGCATTAGTAATGAGACACCTGGTATTGTTCTTCAGCTGTATCTTGCTCTGGTTAGTCCCCATTTAGATTATGCAGTTCAGTTTTGGTTGCCGTACTATATAATGATATAAATTTCACAAAAACGCATCGAGCGTAGGATGACAAAGTTAATCCCCCAAATTAGAAACATGCCATATGAAGAAAGATTGACAAAGCTTAAATTGCATTCGTTGGAAAGGTGAAGAGTTAAAGGTGACATGATAAAGGTGTACAAGTGTATGAATGGACATAACAAAGGGGATATTAATAGGGTATTAAAAGTATCAACACAAGATAGAACACAAAACAATAGGGTATAAATTGGATAAGTTTAGATTTAGGAAAAACTTGAGTAAATACTGGTTCAGTAATAGGGTTGTTGATTTGTGGAACCAATTACCACATAACATAATGGAAATGGAGTCTCTTGATTGTTTCAAGCATGGGTTGGACATATATATATATGAGATTGGGTGGATATAAATGGGAGCTGCCTCGTATGGGTCAATAGGCCTTCTGCAGTTACCTTTATTCTTATGTTCAGTTCGGCCTACCATGGACCAGAGCCGGAACCGAGCTACAAAAGATGCAGGAAGCAGGTGACACTCCTCCACCTCAGTGGGGGAAGGCACCCAGAAAGTCAGCAAACCAATACAGACCACTGCTCGGTTGAAAAGAGACTGTAGCCTCACCATCCGCTGAATGAACCTCCCCCAATAATGTAAACAAATAATCAAAAACCTCTTAACCCCTTAACTGCGTTGCCTCCAAATGTGACACCCCCACAGTGCGCAGGAAATAAATTCTCTGGAAAAAATTCTTTTTTCTTTTTAAAGTGTCAAAAACCCTTCCCTCAGTATGGGTATGTAAAAAAAAAGTCGAAATTGTACTTACTTTGGCTGCTATGGGGTCCGGAAGTTGGGGCGTGACGTCATCATTCCCCGTGCGCCCGTGCCGTAAGCTCTCAGGGGCGGTGGGGCGCTCGGGGCGGGGTGCGCGAGTTGCCGCGAACATATTTTCGTTCATTTTTTGCGCACCTTTCCAAATACATTTTCATTGTTTTTATGTGCCAATCCAATGTATAATGAACACGTACACTATAATATCGCAGTACAACATCCGTACTGTCCGTAGACACTGTGTTACGTGCATGAAACTTGTGCGCACATATGCAGCACATATTTACTATGTATCATGCTAATTTGTGTATATATACAATCTATTTACACACTATATACATTCACCATCAACACATTCAGAACACCGCGTAGCAGCTGCTTCATATGGGCCAATAGCAGCTGCCTCGTATGGGCCAATATCAGCTGCCTCGTATGGGCCAATATCAGCTGCCTCGTATGGGCCAACAGCAGCTGCCCCGTATGGGCCAACAGCAGCTGCCCCGTATGGGCCAACAGCAGCTGCCTCGTATGGGCCAATAGCAGCTGCCTCGTATGGGCCAATAGCAGCTGCCTCGTATGGGCCAATAGCAGCTGCCTCGTATGGGCCAATAGCAGCTGCCTCGTATGGGCCAATAGCAGCTGCCTCGTATGGGCAAATAGCAGCTGCCCCGTATGGGCCAATAGCAGCTGCCCCGTATGGGCCAATAGCAGGTGCCTCGTATGGGCCAATAGCAGCTGCCCCGTATGGGCCAATAGCAGCTGCCTCGTATGGGCCAATAGCAGCTGCCGCGTATGGGCCAATAGCAGCTGCCTCGTATGGGCCAATAGCAGCTGCCTCGTATGGGCCAATAGCAGCTGCCTCGTATGGGCCAATAGGAGCATTTGACCATGAACACATTCAGAACACCTCGAGTGAGAGCAGCCTCACCCAGCCAGTCTCCCTCACTCCAACATCTTACTCGCCAACATTGTTCCTCCCACCATATTATTATAGTTCTTATTACACATGTTCTATATACCTATCTACATGTTTTATTTACCAGAACTATGGAAGTAAGCCGGTATTGTGTCCAAACAGTACAGTGGCCACCATACACTGCATGAAAAATCACACAGCAGACGACGCTACGATTACGTCACCTCCCTCACCGAAATAGCTCCTCTCAACATTCTCCTGTTGCTGTTCTTACACTATATACACACACTATATATACCCATGTACATATGTGTTGCCCATAGCGAACCACTAAGCTAGTATGGTGAGCAAAACAAGAGTGGCAGCCACACACACACAATGAGGCTACCTCAATTATCGCCCTCCCTCATCAAAATTCCTCCTTCCACAATACTACGCACAACGCTAATTATAACCACAATCCTGCTATTATCACAATCCTGGTCACTAATTCCTGTAAATGAATAATTGACCACACGTTTATTTTGAAAAGGAACCTAAGAAATCATTTGAAGATTCCTAGATGAACGAAATAATGCTGTGGTGCTGTGGCTAGCGCTGTGAACATCGTGAACAGCATTGAATCACTGATATTTGAACATTGTACCCAGTCATTATCACACTCAGGCTCTAATATAACACTATCATAGCTAAATAATACAAGTTATATATATATTTTGGCATTATTAGGCGATGCTGTGGTCACATGCTGAACAGCAGTGCTGTGCGCTCATGCTGCGAGCGCCAGCCTTGGTTGCTCACACACTACTGAGGCTCCCACACCCGGGAATGTGGACCACGATTTTTTTTAAAGATGGCGTCTGTTTACAAGAGCCCTGAGGAAGCTGATGTGAACCCCATGTAGCCGCGGGAGTTTTGAATGGAACGTGAAAAATACAAATACCCGGAGGCGCGTTGCGCAAACCAGACGTGAGCCTGCAGGCGCGTTGCGCAGTTTAAGGGTTAAAACAAGCGTGCGCTCATGTTGTCCACTGGTCCAAGCCCTCAGTTCCTCCACTGATGCAGCTTGTTTTAGGCGACTGCAGTAGGGCTCCAGAGTTGCCAGTAAGCTGTGGCTGTCCCTGGTGCTTTCCATTTAAATGTTTCTTTGGACTTGCATCCTGTGTGTTTTGTTTAATACACCATGGTGTAGTGTGAGCCAGGCTTTTTAAGAGTTCTTAAGAGCTTCATGTGCTCATGGTCCCCTTCCCTAAGTACACACTAGCTCTGCCCCTGCACTGGCAGTGTGTGTTTAGGGGTTCACTTCTTTAGAGGTCCTTCCTGCTCAGGGTGCCTTGGGGAAGTCAGGTGTCTCGTTACTCTTTGTCTTGACCCAGGTTGGTAATGAGCGTTGGCTGGTGGGGTGCACTTGTGGCTCATGTGCTTGTATATACAGCTTGGAGGTCGGTGTTCACAGCCATGTTGGCTTAATTTTAGGTCCAGCATAGCATTTCAGTGCCTAGGTGTCCTGCCTGTTTTACCCCTTCAGGCCCAGGAAATCCTCTACTGGTTCAGTTGACCAGTGGCTATACCCTCTGAACATATTCATCCCTCGTGCAAATTTCAGGGTTGTTCATTGTTTGTGCCTCAGAGCAACAATCAACATTCTGTCTCTGCTATGCCCACTGTTGGGTTGGAGATGCCTACGACCTAGAATCCTGTGGGGTTTGCACATCCCATGTGACTCTCCTATCTGATTCTCCTGCTAAAGTTCCTGCATATCAGGTGGCCACTACTTTATGGGGTTCACTTTACCCGTCTTCACGCGTCTAGGTTGTGTTCATGGTTGAATGCCCCGGAGTTGGCCTGCCTTGTGTTTCGGGACCTGGAATTGGGGGTCCTCTTCCACCCCCCCTTCCAACTTGACCTCTTTACAAATGCCTTAGCTTTAAGTTGGAGTTTCATGTAGTAACCAGGTCTCTGGGAGGTTGTTGGTCTCCTCCTTTTGGTCGGGCACAAGTTTGCAGCCCTGTGACATGCATTAGGTAGGATTTGGATTCTTCCTGGCTCCGTGCTTCGGATCCATTCGAACTGTGCCCCAGTGGTTCATTGTCTGAACCAGAGGGCTCCCTTTGATCCTTTGGAGCTGACCACTGTGAGTAGCTCATCTGCTGGATTCTTGGGGCTTAGTTCCCCGTGCATTTTGCGTTCGGGTAGTGTCCAGGTTCTTTCCCATCTCTGTGGAGTGGACCGTCCTGAGGCTCTGTGAGGCATTCGGACATCCTGATCTGGCTCTCTTAGGGATGCATGTCTCACTGATCAGCATCACCCTTTTGAACTCTTCTCTTCACTTCATTTATTTATTTATTTATTTATTTATTTATTAATGCATCAGCTTGAAATTAGCAACTTCATCTTTGTGTGGCTCTGTTTCCTGATTGTGATGCCCTTGCAAGGGATGCCTTTTATTTGGACTGGATGTGGGGGAGATTTCTGTACCTCTTTGTCCCAGTCTAGCTGTTGCCTCAGGTCCTGGCCAGGTTGGAGTCCTACCAAGAGAGGATGGTATTTCTATCTCCTTGGTGACCAGCTCAGCCTTGGTTTCGGACACCTGCTTGCTCGGTGTCCAAACCAGGGTGTTTTGCCACAATTCTTCCTCTTTCAGACAATTGGCCTCAGTGTGGCTAGCTTCAGGGAGCCACTGAGGCTCAACCAGAAAGAGGCATTTCATTATATTCAATGGTGGATTTTTTTTTTTTTTATGCTAAATTCTGCTTATGAAAGTGGTATATTTTTTATTTTGATTGTGTTTAAAATTTTGAAGCAGTTATGCTGATTGGCAAATAAATTTTCTGGTAGCAGCAGTGCCACAGCTGTTTAAAGAAAATTAACAATTTGCTACATTAATTTATATTATGAAGCTATTTGATCTTTTCATTTATGAATTTTTCTTTATCAGGAAAAAAAACCCGAACTTGCAGTAGTGGCAGACAGTATTGACACAAGTAAAGGTTCAGGCATGGCCTCAGATTCATCGTCTGACTCATCATCTTCATCCTCTTCATCTGATGATTCTTCTTCGTCAGAAAGCATGTCAGACAGTGGCCAGGAAAGCTTACCCGAGCATAAAAAGAAGAGGTATGTATGTACTGTATAACATTTTTTTGTTAAATGTGACTGCATATTTGATTATAGTGTAAGCTTTCTATGCTTCTAACTACATGTTTTCTTAGAAGCATGGAAAGCTTACACTAAAAGATCAACAATGCAGTAATTCAGTCATATTTAGTTAGAGGAAGAGCCAATTGTGCTTCAAGGAAGAACTGCTGCCAGTGTATTCAAACAAGTTTAAACTCAACTATATGCCTGTATCATTGACAAGTGTAGTAGTTAAAATATTTGAAACAATAATTAAAACTAAATGGGTAGAACACCTGGAGAAAAACTATATGATAACAGACAGACAGTATGATTTTCGATCTGGAAGAGCCTGTGTGACGAATTTACTCAGTTTCTATGATCGAGCCACAGAGATTTTACAGGAAAGAGATTGTTAGGTTGACTGCATCTATCTGGACCTAAAAAAGGCTTTTAACAGAGTTCCACATAAGAGGTTGTTCTGGAAACTGGAACATACATATTGGAAAAGTGACAGGTAAGCTTCTAACATGAATGAAAAATTTTCTAACAGACTGCAAAATGAGGGCAGTTATCAGAAGCAATGTATCGGACTGGAGAAATGTCACGAGTGGAGTACCACAGGGTTCAGTTCTTGCACCGGTAATGTTCATTGTCTACATAAACGATCTATTGTACTAGGTGGAATACAAAATTGTATGAACATGTTTGCTGATGGTGCCAAGATAATAGGGAAGATAAGTAGCATAGATGATTGCCATGCCCTTTGAGAAGACCTGGTTAAAATAATTGTATGGAGCACCACTTGGCAATTAGAATTTAATGTGAATGTAATGGACCATTTTATGGAATGTGGAATAGGAGAACATAGACCCCACACAACCTATAAATTATGTGAGAAGTCTTTTAAAGAATTCTGATAAGGAAAGAGTTCCAGGGGTGTTTCTAGATAAAAAAAACTATCATCTGAGGACCACATAAAGAACATTGTGTGAGGATCCTATGCTACACTGCTACACTTTCTAACTACAAAATTACTTTTAAATACATGGATGGAGAAATTGTTCACGACTTTTGTTAGACCAAAGCTGGAATATGCAGCGGGTGTATGGGCCCATGTCTTATGAAGCACATGCTACATACTCGACTCACAAGTTAAGCCTGGCCTCAGGCCGGGCTTGGGGAGTAGAAGAACTCTCAGAACCCCATCAAGCAAGTATCATGCAGGTACATCAACAAACTGGAAAAGGTGCAAATACATGTAACTAAATGACTCCCAGAACTGAAGGACAAGAGCTACGAGGAGAGGTTAGAGGCATTAAATATACCGAGACTAGAAGATAGAGGAAAGAGGCGATATGATCATTACGTACAAATTAGTAACAGGAGTCAATAAATTTGATAGGGAAGAATTCCTGAGACCTGGAACTTCAAGAACAAGAAGTCATAGCTTTAACCACTTAACTGCACCAACTGAGTATTCTCGATCGGCGGGAAACTGCGCCAACCGAGAGAACTCTTTTTTTTATTTTTCCGTACCCATTCTAAATGTGTGCGAGGTTGGTTGTGTACGAAATGGACTCTTAGGACCTCCATTGAGAGGCAGCCATCTTGGAAAAAATTCCCAGAATGCCCTAGGGCTGCTGGCTGGGTTAGTACTGAGTGAGCAACCATGGGTGGCACACGCTCCTCTGGCCCCCAAACACCTGTCCAGCGCGATGTTGAAAGATCGCGCTCTGTCGGTGAAATTCAAACCAATCAAATCTTATGTTTAAAGAACATAAGGGTCATAATATTGGTGAAGCTAGGCGCAATAGGGACCTAACACAAAGGTCGGATGCAAGTGATACAGCACCTATGAGGATGATACAGTGAGCGTATCTGGTTGTAGCTCTGAGCACCACCCTTGCCCACCCATGCTATCTCCAATTTATATAGATAATACATAGATGAATCATTTTCTGCATACAGTGATGATGCATCTGATACAAGAAACATAGATGAACATTGTTAGCGGCTTCATGGTGGTGTTTTCTATAGATATTTTCAAGAATAGCTGAATCTCTTCCAGACTGACGGACATTCTTTGAGACTAGCTGAATCTCTTCCAGACTGACAGACACTCTTTGAGGCTAGCTGAATCTCTTCCTGACTGACAGACACTCTTTGAGGCTAACTGAATCTCTTCCTGACTGACGGACACTCTTTGAGGCTAGCTCAATCTCTTCCTGTGTGGAACCTTACACGGCGATGTTTTCAAGACTACCTTACAAGTTGATCTTTTCCTATAATTTTTTCAGTACTACCTTATACTTTATAAGCTTGGCTACATACAACCTACAAATACTAAAGCCAAGGGTGTACGTGAGTGCATTATTTGCAAGCACACAGAACGAAGAAAAAGGAAACGAAAATCTATCTGTACCTGGTGCACCGAGAGCGAAGGCTCGCTGTGCACAATGGACTACTTCGTTGATTATTACTCACCTCCGAAGTACTGAATGTGTAATACAGTGTGTTACTGTGTAAATAGTGTGTGAAACTGTACATATTGTAATTTTAGTGAATTTTTAACACTTTCGCCCGGGCATGACGCAGCATTGCATCATCCGTTTACTGTCGGTAATGCCGGGGATGACGCAGCATTGCGTCATCCACTTTAAATAATCGCCAAAAATCAGGTTTTTATCCAATTTTTTGGGGACTGGTTTTAAAATGCACGCCAATGTCTTCCCATTTTCTTTGTTGAGCCTCGTGGCCCTCAGGCGGCTTGGCACACGCCGTGGGCCCATTGTTTTCGCTCCACTGTTGTGACCAATGTCGCCTCCCCTTGCATCTCAAATGTGTGAACATTTCGACTATTTTCCGTGGCTATATTTCTTACTGCAGCTTTAGAAACTATCTACGCTTACTCCACGATGGATAGTGATCATGAACAAGGCCCTTCCAGGAAGAAAATTGCGAAAGAAAGGCTTGAAAAGGGGCGGGAATTGGGAGTGTAGCTGGAAGGCGTCTGAGCGCTCACTTGCGGCTAACGCATGGCCTGTCTTCAACTCGTCGGCGGTTGGAGCGTGACCAGGTTTTTTATTTTATTAGCTAATGTTCCTCTAGAGAATTCTATTGCGAACCCATTGAGACCAAAATGAAAGACCTAGGACGAAAATTGAGGTGACCAGAGTGAAAATAGTGAAAACATTTTATCGCGTTTGCGCGCTCCTGGGTAACTCGTTCACACTTTCTCTGTTTGCTGCGGGTAATTAGCCGGGCTTTTGGAGTTTATATGCATTTAGTGCTGTAGAGAATTCTATTGCGAACACAATGATACAAAATTTAATCTCGTAGGACGAGAATTAAGGTGACTCTAAAGTTGAAGAGAGTATACACTTTTCAGAATTTACGCGCGCTCCCGTGACACCCTGGGTCCCATATCACACAGTTGAAGGGAATAAAATAAAAAATTATTTTGGGGAACACTTTAATTCATGTGCACAGGGGGAATTTCACAATAAACTCGGTGCAGCACAATGGTTAACCCTCAAACCGCTAGGGGCTCAAATGGATTTAACACCCACAGGCGCAACAAAAAAAAAATTCCAAAAAATTCTTTCACATAGAACAAATAATTGAAAATATATTTGTGGCAACACCCGGTGCTTGAATGGCCCGCGCGACCGTGTCTGGGCGTGTCACACACAGGCGACCAGTCCCTGATGACGTCACAGCGCACCTCATCCACGTCCCCACAGCCAAAGTAAGTAGAATTTGGTATTTATTTTTACATAGACATGTTCAGGGAAGGGAATTTATCATTTTACGAAGAAAAAATTATTTTGGGGAACACTTTAATTCATGTGCACAGGGGGAATTTCACAATAAACTCGGTGCAGCACAATGGTTAACCCTCAAACCGCTAGGGGCTCAAATGGATTTAACACCCACAGGCGCAACAAAAAAAAAATTCAAAAAAATTCTTTCATCTTATAGAAGTGTTCATTTTTGTTCCCTGATCACGGAAAAAATAACAAAAAAATCGTAGGTGGCATATTTTAGCAGCAATAGGGTAGGGAAGTCTGACAAAAAAGGGGCGTTGACAGAGCCTTCGCCAGACGAGGTCTACTCCACTCGAGCTGTCAGGCGGCAGTTGCCACAAATATATTATTACCTAATTATTTCAATGTCTCTGATTGATTTTTTCTTATTTTTTTGCAGTAATATTATTCAATACAGTGAATTGTGATATATTTATATTATAAAATATGTGAACTATCGCTGTACTCAAAATTATGGTGTGCATATTAGTGATTCAATTATTATGTTCATAAAACAATTAACAAATAGGTTTGCTGTTGTTACACTATATCCACAGGTTATATATAAGTATTTGCATGTTTTGTTCACCATAACGAACCACTAAGTTGGTCTTGTGAGTCAAAAAGCAACGAGGAGTGACCACCACACACCAGCCAGCCACTCGCTGCCACTCCCTCCCTCAACAACACCTCACTCCCCCTCATTCTCCTCCCACAATACTGCTTTTGCATTTATTCACTATACACAGACATTATATATAAGTATTTACATGTTTTGTTCACCATAACTGTACATCTAAGCTTGTATGGTGAGTAAAGACACGAAGACGTAGCTATTCACACAGGCAGCTGGTGGCAGCCGCCCTCAAGGCCAGACGCACTAATATTTCTCCTCCAACAATACTGTGTGGTGTTATTATGCTATATACACACATTATATATAAATATCTACTTGTTTTATTCACCATACCTGTACAAATATGCTGGTATGGTGCCCAAAGACCATAGTGGCCACCAGTAAACAACATGACAAGTCGTGCAGACGACGCATCTCCCTCACCAAATTGGCGGCTCCCAACCTACTCCTATTGCTGTTATCACATTCTATACACACGTTATATAAAAGTATCTACATTTGTGTTCACCATAGCAAACCACTAAGCTGGTATAGTGAGTGCAGTCAATAAAAGG